CCCGCACCTGACATGACTCATATTTTTGAGGCATCCAACCCGCCCGAAACCGCGGGACCCGCGGGTTGACTGCGGGTTTCGGGCCGACCCGCGCATCTCGCATGTCCTGTTCAGGGCTGCAGGAGCAATTGTCCATTATTTTAATTGGACTCACTGTAAAAAAGAAAAAGTTAGTTCAACTCAAAATTTCAAAGCAACCAGCTGCGAAGGATTTTTTAGTTGAAGGCATTAACTTAATTCTTCAAGTTTTGAAGAACTACACTTATTAAGTTGTGTCAGTTAAGTTTTCCAAGTTCTGCCAACTAAGTGTTTAAATTCAAGTTACTGGAAATTTCAAGTCTGTAAAAACTTACTTTTTGAAGTTCATACTGTCCCCTACAATAACTTACTATTTTGAGTTTAAATTAGCCCCCACATTAAAAGATCATGATGTTTATATAGCGCATTTCATGGACCAAGGTCACTTGGGTAGGGGAAACCGGAGCACCCGGAGGAAACCTATGCAGCCACAGAGAACATGCCAATTCCACACAGAAAGGCCCTGTTCCGACCGGGATTCGAACCCAGGACCTTCGTGTCAAGAAGCGAGAGTGCTATCCACTCAGCCACCGTGCCGCGCACACTGGGAACCAGAGGGGAAACTTAATGTTTCTAAGACTGACCCAGAGAATATACAGGGCTACTTTGGCTTGGCCCTGTCGATTACGGTTGGTAAAAATAAATACAGTGATTTTTTTGCTCAAATTAGTTTGTTCAAAATGTTGAATGCAGCTGGTTGCCATAACACATATTTAAATGAGCAAACGCAGATAAGTTGACCTCACTATAGCTCGGTGAACTGTAAAAACGACAACTCAAAATTGTTCACCTTACTCAGATTTTTGCATTCACTGACAATACAATTTCCAGTTGGAACTGGAACTATCTGTTGTGAGCCACTTGAACTTTCAGAAGTTCACTACAACTTCAAAGTCAAATCAACTTAATATATCAAATAAGATAAACTTTTCATCAGAAACTTCAGAAAGTGAGTGTCGAAAATCAGACGCATAGGCAGGGATCTTTGCACACCAGAGCAACCTGGAAGTTTATTCACAACAGGTGGTAGATTCAGGCAGAACAATAAACAGGGAAACATTATATATTGGATATATTGGGGTCAGTCAGCTAAAACAACTGATACACAATCGTAGCAGATATACAATCAAAGAACATTGTGTGTCTTGTACTTCTATTTTATCTTGTTTTTGTACTACTATACAGGCCATGGCCTTCTATTGTTCATATGAGTTCAAGTGGCTCACAGCAGACAGTTGCAGTTCCAACTGGCAATTTTATTGTCAGTGAATGCAAAAATCTTAGTAAGGTGAACAATTTTGAGTTGTATTTTTTACAGTCCAGCACCAGAAGTCGCATTAATGGTGAGTGTTATAACAACATTATTTAAAAGAATAAATTCAGAGGCTTATTATATATATGATTCGAAGTTTGCGTGTTTCCGCAACACGCAACAATAACATGTTTATTGTTGTCCAAATCTTGAATTTCATGCATGTTTTGGCGTGTTGTGCCGAAGGTGGAAATGAATAGTTGCTAGACTGTAGTAAACTTGTAAAACGATATTGCTAATGCAAATGTATGATGGGTGGGAAACTTTCTTTCTCCGTGTTTTACAAATATAATGGAGTTGGCTGATGAATGTGAAGAAGATGAGCCAAGTCTGGGATCGCGTCTTAAATTCAGACAGAAGACATGTTTTATTGTCGATGGTAGACACAGCACGAACACGAACACAGATACAATAGAATGCAAGTGTATTATACAGAGCGGAGGCATGGAGACCTCCAATCAGCAGCTTCCACAGTGTGCTTGTAGCTTGGCCTTCAGATAGACACAACAAGGGAAAAGTACTGGCTTCTGCACATTGATAGAATGATGAGTTTAACTTTAACAAAAGTTGCTTCAAAGTGTTATGAAATCTCACAAATGTCTGCTTAGTTTTAACACTAGCAAACCCAAGCGAAATTGGCCCCTGTTTTGAAAAGAAGGATAGGTTGGCTGCTAACATTTGCATGTATTGATTTGCAAATTTAGGTAATGACTTATAACAGCAGGGGCCTGGGGTGGGCTTTGTTTATTCGTGCGGGGGAGGGAGAGCTGCAAGAGAGTACTACTATAGTCCACGGATACACATGTGGACAATGCAGAAGAGATGCCATGGCAGTGCTGTGTCCCCTGAGAATGCACAGTATATATTTTGTAATCAGTTTGTGCATTTCTCAGAACAATTAGTGCAAACGGCAAAACCTCATGGATAACTTGCTAAAAAGTCACTTCCTCAAAATGAACTTAATTCCTCAACAGAACGGTCTGTGTCTCAAAAGAATAAGTCCTGACACCAGTGTTTATGAACAACAGTCAAATGATTTAGTCATGTTTTCATTGTGACTGTATTTAGTGAGATATATATGTATGTACTGTATGTCTTTCACATATTTACTGCATATGCTCTTTGCAATTCTACAGCATTGTGCAACAAAAATAGCACACATACAGTATTTACGTAGAACAAACATACAAAACACTGAGTCACGTGTGACATAATCGCAGCAGTTTCTCGTTTGAACAGATTACAAATGCTTTTGTTCATGTATCAGTTACTTTCATACAATTCTGTTTTATAACATCATCATTTGCTTCTGTCCTGTTAGTCAAAATAAAACTTATCACGACTGAATAGTTTCTCCCTGTAAAACTAAAGCTCATTTCATGGCTTTGGTCATCACATACAAAACTGTTGAACTCGTTCAAAACCAAAATCTGTCAATCTGATTTCATACAATACTTTATCTTTTTACATCCTGAACATTTTTCCTAACACGACAAGGTGTGTTTTTTATTGTTTACATTTGTCACAGTTCTACCATAATGATATTCTGTATGTTTGTTCTATGTACATACATGTATGTGACTGTATTTTTGTTGCACAATGCTGTAGAACTGCAAAGAGCAAATGCAGTAAATATGTGAAAGACATACATCTATACATACATGCATACACACACACACACAGTACATATAAATGTGTATTTTACTCTCACTAAATACAGTCGTGTGTAACTTTACTGTAGTATTCAGCTGTACAGTGTTTAGTGCTCACCAAGATCAGATTTTTTGCTTTGAAAAAAGCAGAGAGAGTAAAGTGTCACAATGAAAACATGACTAAGTCATTTGACTGTTGTTCATACTCAATGTTGTCAGGACTTATAATTTTGACGACACAGACAATTTCATTGACATGAAGACTTGCTTTTGAGGAATAAAATTTTCATTTTGAGAAGGTGATGCACTTTTGCAAGTTATCCACCAGGTTTTGCAGTTTGAACTAATTGTTCTGAAAAATGCACCAACAGTTGTGATGTATTATACATTATACATGGTTTTATGAAACAGAATTCTGAGAAAAACAGGTTTAAAGATCGACATTCCAAACATAATCATCACAGTCATATAACATGTAAATTTTGAATTACTCTGTTATGGCACACTTGTTTTATTCACTATGTTGTAGAAGATTAAAAAGATGTTACTTTGGCACCAATTAAACACACAACACTCATGAATTAGTCGAAAATCAAGAATGTATTGATTCTTTCAATACTCAATGGATTGAATTTTGACCTCCTCTTCTTTTTCTTTCTCTTTATAATTTACTGAAAATTAGATATGCATTAGACATTGCCAGTATTATTCTATCAAATCGCGCAGTCTAAATATCCACAACCACCAAGCATGTTTAATGCAAGGAGAAACTTAGGTAACTTTAAACACAAATAAAACAAATGGACCTGTCCGACTCGAATGTCTATGCTTCGTGTGTCTCTGGTTCTGTCCAAGTGTCTATGATCCGCGTGTCTCGCGTGTCTCCGCCTGTCTGGGTTCTGTCTGCGTATATGTAAATGTAAATGTAAATGTCTGTCTGTGGTTCTGTTCGGGTGTCTATGGTCCTGTCTGTGGTTCTGTTCGCGTGTCTATGGTCCGCGCTCGGAGCCCAGACGGCAGTGCGTTCACTGAGCTGTCAGAGCGGGGGTCACAGCAGCTGCTCCCGGGGCCAGAGCGGAGGATGTAACGTAACGTTCGGTTTATCAAAACATATCACAATATTTAACGTATAACACTAGTGAATTTCACCTAGATTTTTTCAGACATTAAAGACAAAATGTTATATAATAATTGTTTAATGAAAAAACAATTTTGCCAAAAAAATGACAATAGACCTATTTTTACTTTTTACTGTTTACTCGGAACGTGCCAGCGTGACATCCGACGGGTTTTCCCAGATCGCATCACATATATACGTTAATGCAATTTAACACTAGCCAACCCATGGAGGTGCCATTTGGCACTTCTACCTAAAAAGCCCACCACAGTGCCAAATGACTCCAAGGATTTTAGCTAACAAACTAAATCACCTGTGAACGGCCAACTTTGTTATGTAAATAGGGCCGTTATCACAGGCTGAGCTGAAGTTGCTTCACTTTGCCATCTTAGGGGGAGGGGGAGGATCTGAATAGTTCCTCCACAACACTGAGCCATTGCAGCTCTCAGGTGAATTACAGCTTTCACTCATGAAGAGTGTGTTATATTGTTTACATTGATCAGAGTTCTACCACAACGCTTTTTTGTATGTTTGTTCTATATAAAGAGACATAAGTTACTGTATTATTGCATATGCAGTACATATGTGAAATACACACCACTTTACTTTGCCATCTTAGGGAGAGGTCAACACACAGTTTTTTTTTGGTTAGTGAGATTTATTGATTTTAAATGCTACAAAATAAGAAAACTGCAGATAATTACAAAATATATACAGTATATGCATCATCAGGCTCCACAGTCCTTGCACTGTCATGGAATCTCTCTTCTGCATTGTCCACATGTGTATCTGTAGCAGTCGACACATCGCACAGAGGCATGATTCTTCTTGCACTGATGTTTCACCTGACACAGGGGTCTTTTTCCAGGGCTTGGTGTGGAGGGTTGTTTTCGAAGCATTTCTTCCTTTTGTGCCTTCTTTGCACCAACGTGAGAGTGAGCCAATTCCCTTGCAAGCGCCACCAGAAAGGCCACCCGTCTCTCCTGCTTCCCGGTACATGCTTGATAAAGAACATGTGCGTTCAATGCTGCCATATCAATCATATTATAGAACACACCGACTGGCCAGCGCCGTGTTCCTGAGCGGACACTGTACTCCCGCACCATCTGGTCCATAATATCCACGCCGCACTTTGTGGTATTGTAGAGGGTGACCGTGTTTGGTTTCCTTTTGGTGGTATCTTCCGTCTGAACGAGGTTGTGCATGCTGCTGAGAATGTAGACAGCCTTCTTCCGTTTGGGAGTGTAAACTGTGAGAGTCGCACCCGTGGTCGAAAACAACTGAGTGGTGAATTCGTTACGGTCCATACGTCTTGTAGATGGAGGAATTTCCCGGCGAATCTTGTTGACTGTGCCGAGGATGGTGGTTTTTCGTTCAAGCAGTCGTTTTGCAAGTGATAGCGATGTAAAGAAATTGTCCGTGGTCACATTTCTGCCCTTGTCCAGGAATGGTTCCATCAGCCTCATCACAACAGTTTCCGACAGTCTCTCACCGCTGGGACGACTGGGGTCCTTGCCAAGATATGGGAAGACATTGCAAATGTACTTGGATTTCAAGTCGCAGGCCACCCAAAACTTGATCCCAAACTTGTCAGGTTTAGTAGCGATGTACTGCAGGAAACAGCAGCGGGTCTTTGATGGGAAAAGCTGTTCATCAATGGTGATGTGTCGACCGGGATTGTACAAAGTGAGGCAGTTGGTGACAAACGATCCCCACACATCAGACATTGCAGCAAACTTATCAGTCTTTGCTCGGTCTTCGCGGGTGAACTTGTCGTCAAAGCATGATGTTTTGGAAGCGGTTTCGGGACATGATTCCAATGATGTCTGGGTGTCCCAGGTCTGCAGACCAGCAGTCACGTAGTGAAGGCATTTTGGTGAGCCCACGAAAAATGGCAATTGCTATAAATGCCATTAGTTCTGGAAGGGCCATGAACCAATCGTCGTGCTCAGTTTGCGTTGCATGTTGAATAGTCCATTGTTGAATGGTACGAAGCATTTCAAGAGTAATGAAACACAGAAAGCTCTGAAGGCGACTTGTGATGCTACTTTTGGCCTTAGCTGTTGGCTCTCCGTCCGCGGCATAAGTTTCTAATGGGGTGAAATCGAGTAGCATCCCCAGCTGTTCTTCATGCCACACCGTGCCATCTTTCGCTGTCTCAGTCACTTCAGTCCCAGATCGAGCTCTCTTTTTTGGCTGAGGAGCAGGTTCCTCATCTGCAGAATGAACAGAATATAAATATTAACTTTGGATGAAAATATAATACAGAAACAACAGACAACAGACAACAGTCACTCCACTTTACCATTTTATTAATTTACCTTGTTTAAAATGAAATATAAAAATGGAAATAATATTTAAAAAAAACAAACCTGAAGAGAGCTCAGACGACTCAGGGTTCGAAGCCAGCTGAAGGTTGATCTCCTCTCCATCTGAGTCGCAGGGGTTGACTTCACTCAGGATCATGTCCAGCGCCTGTTGAGTGTTGAGTCTTTTCTGAATCTTTGAAGGAGGTTTGCACACCACAGAATTTTTGAGGGCAATGAAGTAGTCAGGCCCTGTGCAGTGCTGTATATATACATCTCAGCACAACAGGCATGACCACCCATTTTAGCATAAGCTATAGCCCATATATGTGCCAATTCACACCTGCTCGTGTCCTTAGCTTGTTGCGTAGAAGAAAAATCAATTATGTTATTAGTATTAGATAGCAATATGGCCTACGTGCAGGACTGTACAAGGACTCTACAAGGACTCCATGTTATGACTATGATGTGACTGTCTCTGTGTGACACGTATGTCTTTCGATGTGTGACGTGACAATGACTATATAAACTGTGTACTGCCTTTATTCTGTCTGAGAGAAAGAAACAGAGTAAACCAGTGGAACTTGAGAGCAACTTAAATAAACTTCCAGAGTTTGGCGCACCACGATCCGTCTCTGTCTGCTTGAATCCTAACAGATTTGGTGGAGGATGTGCGGCTCAGTGTGTGCCATTCTCTGGATTGTTTTGAGGGAGTTTGCTTTGTTTCTTTTCCTCGGCGTGAGAGATCGGCATGCTGTGTCTGGGAGCGGAGATTCCAGCAGGCTGGAAGAGCTGTTCCTGGATGCTTCTTGTCGCTTCTGTCACTTTTGTTTTTTAAATTGAATATTCCGACGCGGAAAAGAGTTGGCAGACCTCTCGGACAGTCCTTGGTACCGGTTTGACAAGAATAAGGTAAGCAGACACCTTTTTAAATGTAAAGTCTGTATAATTGGATACTAGCTAAATTTTGGTCTGTTTTTGGGGTCTGTCAAACTCTCTAAATTGTATTTGAGAAGAAGTCTCGGGGTTAGAGTCCCTTTGAGAAGAAGTCTCGGGGTTAGAGTACCTTTGAGAAGAAGTCTCGGGGTTAGAGTCCCTTTGAGAAGAAGCTTCAGGGTTAGAGTCCCTTTGAGAAGAAGTCTCGGGGTTAGAGTCCCTTTGAGAAAAAGTCTCGGGGTTAGAGTCCCTTTGAGAAGAAGTCTCGGGGTTAGAGTACCTTTGAGAAGAAGTCTCGGGGTTAGAGTCCCTTTGAGAAGAAGCTTCAGGGTTAGAGTCCCTTTGAGAAGAAGTCTCGGGGTTAGAGTCCCTTTGAGAAAAAGTCTCGGGGTTAGAGTCCCTTTGAGAAGAAGTCTCGGGGTTAGAGTCCCTTTGAGAAAAAGTCTCGGGGTTAGAGTCCCTTTGAGAAGAAGTCTCGGGGTTAGAGTCCCTTTGAGAAAAGATAAAGTGTAGGATCCTTAGTGAAACCATGGTGTAATAATAAAAGCAATAAAAAGGGAAACGTGTAAAGGAGGCCTTTGTTACAAAAGCTTTGAAATTGACGAATTTCAGGCTGATAAATGACAAAAGTAAAGAAGCAACAATATTTCAGTGATCACGGTTTAAATTACATACAGAAAAAGGGAGTTTTTGTTTTTGGAGTGAACAGAGTTCACCGGAGAATGCAGAGTTTTATCTAAAGTTGAGCTATGAGAGCTTTCGTGAGATATTTACATTTTTTGCCGAGTTTTATCTACAGTTAAGCTATGAGAGGGTTGTATCCAACAGTTGTTTTTGTTTTTTAGAAAGAGATTTTGAGTTTAAACTAGTTTGCTACCTCAATAAAATAGAAGCGTAAACGTTAAAGAGAAGAGTGCCTTTTGTTACTAGTGTGGAAAGTGATCACTTCTAGACTTGGATGACAAAAGTTTAAAGAACAACATCAGTTATATTCGCTTAACAAAGTAATCTTGAAAGTTATTCTTCTGTATCTTTCTGCCTGTGTGTGTGCGTCGCACTATTTGCTGCCGTTGTCAGGGAAACGGCCCCCACCTTCGCTGCTCTGGCTCTGAATCAGAGCAAAGCTACTGCTTTAGGATTTTTGGATTTTCATAGTAGTTATTCCGTTAAATTTGCGAAATTTGCCATTTGAACATTGTGTTAGACACAGTTAAACGTTTTTAAACACCATTAGTGAATAAGTTTTGAATATTATATGTTTTTTGAAACCCAAATATTAGTGCTAAAAGCTGTGCAATTCTTTTTAGACCTAACATATTTCTAGATTCCATTCTTTTAAATCTGCTGCTTATTTTTTGAGTCCATTATTGTATCTGATATTTCATAGCTGTTTGTGAGAATTTTTTCATGTATGTTTTTATTTTAGTTACAAAAGCCGTTTTTTCAAACATTGAAATTAGAATCTGTGTTAAAAGTGATTATTGATTATAGACTTCGTCTAAAAAGAAAGAGGGAATTAGGCTGTAAAAGTATTATTAAGTTAAACTACCCAATTCACCCATTGCAAGCGGTGATGTTTTTGTTTTGACTACACGCCTGACCTTCCTCCTGCTGCTGATGCACACAGCAGAGGAGCCTGGTCTAAAATGTGCTCCAATTCATATTGACTTCATTTGAAAAATGCTGCAATTATTTTAAATTAGTAAAATATATGCTGAGATAAATGCATAGATAATTAATCACACAGTACAAAAGTACATAATACATTTTTTAAAGTTTAAAAAGGTTTTTTTAGATTTGAGTCTTGTTTTTTTATATTAAGAGTTTCTGGTTTTAAAAATGTCAACATTAGTAAGATAATAAGTAATCTTTTATTTACATAGCGCATGTGGGAAAACCCAGAGCGCTCCAAAATTGTTTTGACTTCAGAGAGAAAAACAATCTCATTCGCATACTGATATCTATTGTTTTTAAATTGGCCGTCTCAAGGATTGTTTTTCAGACTCTGACACACTGTACAGGGCCACTGGACTGCTGGAGTGGACACAGAGGGATCAGAACAGTGGCCCAGAGTAGACACCATCCAACCAGCCGCAGATCGTAAAGGCGCCATAGCTACCTCCGTGTGCCCCTCCCCCCACTACAGACCGATGGTCGTAAGTGGCAGTGAGACCGGGGCCACAAAGTGAGGTTTTCTGTAGGCAGTGGTGGGTGAGTTGTTTTGCAATCTGGAAGTGTGCCCACTTTGCTTGTTTACATCGAGCCAGTGTGACCTTTGACACCTACAGGTGGTTCGAGGAGTCTGGAGACACAACCCCAAAATTCACACCCTACATACACACACACACGCATACATTCATACACTCACACATTCACATTTACATATAGATACATGAAAAAGCAGAACATGAGAAAAAAGCATTTTAAAAGTTTACTCCAATGTAAACACATTTTTAATTGTCTATCACTTGAATCTTTAGTTGAATCAGTATTTTTTGAGACCAGAAATGTTCATTTGAATTCTATATTGTCATGGACTTAATTGACCTCTGTCCTGACACTTTTGATTTGTTGATTTTGTACTGTGTGAAGTAATTACATTGATGAGAATTAGATCTGATAAAAACACAAATTAGAGAAGTAAACTGAATCATTGCGCTTGCATTTGTCTGAGAGACAGAAGCAACAGCATGAATAGAAATTGTCTTTACAGTAGAATCAAAGTGACTTAACCATAGAAAGTAACTACTGCATAACAAGCTGTGTACAGGAACTGCACCATTGACCAGAAGTGCATCGCAAATGACCTGATGTGCTTCAAGTGAAAAGAGTGTATCTGGAGATCCTGATGTGCATCTGGAGACCAAAACCATGGCTTGGACCCTACTGATGACCAAGATGACATCTCTCTATGACCTGACCTGATGACGACTGAGGCTCACCCTCAGGGGACCCTGAGGACCTGAGGACCCTGAGGATCAGGGGACCCTGAGGACCTGAGGATCTTAGGACCTGAGAGAGAAAAACTGGGGAGTGATGTTTATATTTCTAAAATCATACATTGATGAGTGCTAAATGAGAGAGATACTCATGTAGCTCGCGAAAATTCAATTTGGTAGACGTCAGCCAAAAGCTACCCCCTCCAGGCCGGTTTGCTTCCCCAGCCTATCGCTCAGCAAACGCCCCCTTCCAATCATCCGTGCCGGACAGGCAGCCGCTTAAAAGCGGAGCAACTCCCACTCTCGGCCTTCTCGAAGCCTCGCATGCTCCTGAAGCCTTGCAGAGAATCGTCTGGAGGAATCGTTTTCGTCTACTCACGCTACTCGGCGCGTCCCTGGCGTCCTCCGTCTGGCTGCTTGTGGCCTGCTCCTCCTCCGCGTCCCTGCACTGGTCTGCTCCTCTTCCACGTCCCTGCACTGCCGTGGTTCGCATATCCCCACTGCTCTCCTCCTCTGCGGGCTCTTTCTGCGGGCTGCTCCGCGGGGCCCTCCGCGGGTTTCTGTGCGGCTCGTTCCTCGTGGTCTGCTGCCGCACGCAGAAGGTCTGGCGGTGCCGTGCGTGTCCCTGCCTCGATTGGCGGTGCCGCGTTGTCCCGTTGCTTTTCCCAAGTCTCCTGGCATGTGAGTACAGTGAGTGTGCTGACCGCGGACAGATTAATCCCGGAGTTCTGGGCTGCAGGCGATTGGTTTTTGCCCTACGCACTTGACTGCAGGCGCCAGTTTTTTCGCCCCGAGCTTGGTCTGCAGGCTCCGTTTTCACACGTGTCTGAGCTAACCGAGGGGCAATGCATATTAAATGGCATCAATCTCTATCGTCTGAGGGACATACGAGGAGCTATGTGCATTAATTCAGATCATGTTCTGCCACTTGCAGTAAAACCATGCATTAAATAGCTAGGTCGCTGGTATTAAATTAGGTAACTAACTGCAGTGTTGCATTTTGAAAGTGCAGCAGGAAGAAAAAGGGCCGAACGTGAATCTGCAATGGGTGTGAAGTAGTGTTGGAGCTATGAACGCATGGATCAGTGATCGTTCATGCGCATCTGCCATAACCAAAGCAGAAGATGGCTCCAGGGGACGTCTGTTATTCGCATGGGAATGTTTCGGATTCGGGTTGATTTATTTCCTCAGGCTGTTAAACAACCGTGGGCATGGTTCTCTGACCGCCGCTGCTGCCGGTCCCCGCTGCCGTTCCTACTGATGCCGATCCCGCCGCCGCCGTTCCTGCTGCCGCTCCTGCTGCCGCTCCTGCTGCTGCCTGTTCCTGCTGCCGCTCCTGCTGCCGTCTGTCCCTGCTGCCTGTTCCTGCTGCCCCTACTACCACATG